CTCTGCTCACATCTGCCCTGCTGAAGGAAGTGTTCCAAAGCTATGTAGCTCCACCAATAAGTGCCTGGAGGCACCTCACTCTGCCAGTAAACTTCGGCTGGAAGGCACTCAGCTCTCTTGCTCCATGGGTCGGCAAGCCTAGTTCCACTGGTAAGTGCCCAGAGGCACCCCACTCCTCCAGGAAGCCTCCAGCGCACAGGCACTCAGCTCTCTCTAGCTCCGTGAGTCAGCTCCAGCGCTGTCTGGCGCTGGTCTCCTGGTTCTGCTGCTGCCGGTTCTCTGCCACTGCCAGTTCTCTGCTGCTGCTGTCTCTGGTGTTAACAGTTCGCCTCACTTCCTTCTGAGTCCTCTATCCATTCACGGTTTCAAAACCACTTCCACATTTTAGGTATCTGTTAGAGCAGCATCTCACTCTCTCGGTACCAAATTCTGTCTTAGTTATCTGCAGCTGCTGTAATAGAAATACCACAAGTGGATGGCTTTACAAAGAGAAAATTATTCTCTCACAATCTAGTAGGCTAGAACTCCAAATTCAGGGTGTCAACTCCAGGGAAAAGCTTTCTCTGCTGGCTCTGGAGAAAGGTCCTTGTCATCAATCTTCCCCTGGACGAGGAGTTTCTCCACGCAGGAACCCTGGGTCCAAAGAATGCACTCTGCTCCCAGAGCTGCTTTCTTGGTGGTATGAGGTCCCACTGTCTCTCTGCTGGCTTCTCTCTTTAACACCTCAAAAGAAACTGGCTCAAGACACAATCCAATCTTGTAGATTGAGTCCTGCCTCATTAACATAACTGCCGCCTATCCTACCTCACTAACATCATAGAGGTAGGATTTACGATACATAGGAAAATCACCTCAGATGACAAAATGGTGGACAATCACACAATACTGGGAATCATGGCCCAGCCAAACTGATACATGTATTTTTGGGAGACACAATTCAATCTATGACACAGCCCCAAAGTGTTGCCTTATTTATCTAGACCTCCACAACGCAAGCCCTTTTTCAACTTATTCTTCATAACACATCCTATGTATCATCTCTCTTTTCACAACCTATATACCTGGAAAGGAGCCCTGCTAGTGCAGTGGTTAAGTGATATGGTTGCTAACCAAAAAGTCTGGCCGTTCGAATCCACAAGCACTCCCTGGAAACCCTATGGGGCAGTTCTACTCTGTCCTATAGGGTCGCTATGGGTTGGAATCCACTCGAAGGCAATGGGTTTGGTTTTATACTTGAAAAGGAGCCCTGGAGGCACAGTGGTTAAGTGCTCAGCTGCCTACCAAACGTCAGCGGTTTGAACCCACCAGCTGCTCCATGGGAGAAGATGATGTGGCAGTCTGCTTCCCTAAAGATTCCAGCCTTGGAAACTCTATGGGGCAGTTCTACTCTGCGCTATAGGATTGCTATGAGTCAGAATCGACTCAACGGCAATGGGTTTTTTTTTAGTATACCTAGATCCTTGAATCTAATAAAAGGTTTTAAATTTTTCTTTACTGGATAATAGTTCTCTGCAGACCCTAAAGAATATTTAAGACTATCAAGCCATGGAACTCTACCTTTCCCTCCTGAAGAGTTCCAAGACTTCAGGGAATGCTATGTATTTCATTCTTTCGCTACAATGGACACCAAGATGACTGTCTCTAAAGTTTGTCATCGCTTCATTTTTTCAGAAATAAGTTCAGAGAAGCAGTTTCCTTCAGTGAAATCTGTTGTCTTCTAGGGGATTACACTGTCAAAAATTTCAGATGCTCTTGCTTTCAGTAAAAGTAGAGCTGCAGCCTCCTACTTCCAACTTGCCTCTACAAGTTTGTAATGTATCATTAAAAAAAAAAAAATCATTCACATCCTCTGTGTATGGCGGGCAGGGGGAGGGCAGAGTGGTGGTGGTGGAATAAAGAGGAAACCATTTTCAGAGTAATTGTTCTCATAAGAAATAACTTCTTAAATCACACTTATCTAGAAGTAACATAATCTAGTTCAATAATAAAAAGTACCTAACAGAAGAAAATACCCTGTTTATTTTATTTGACTATCTATGAGTTAGAATCAACTCGATGACAATGGGTTTTGTCACAAGTTTTCATTAAGAGAAGAACTTAGCTCATTTGGGGCTGGCAATCGATTAGTCTTTTAATTGAAATAAATTTTTTAGATGGAAAGACAGACCAATTTTTTTCTAAACTGTTCTATTATGATTCATTTTCTGTGGTCTGCACAGATCTTTTACTCCTAATGTTCTCTAGGAATCAAAACAAAAAAAAACAAAAACACGCCTCCCCCTAATAAAACCTCCAAATTTTAACTGGCTAAAAATTCAGAAAGAATGAATGTTTTTCAATGCATACTCTTTAATATACAAACACCAGAAACTGTTAGGTTAGGCAGTTACACAGTACCACCACCTCTGCTAAACTTCTAACAGTATGGTCACACGCATGTTAACACTGATAATTTACTACCTATAAAAGAGATTATAAAATGTCTTCTCTGCACAGCAAGAGAAAATGTAGCTGGATGCTCTTATTTAAAAATTAAGAAAATAGGTTCTCTCTCATTAATCAATCACTTAGAATGATTTTACAAAGGTTTTTTTTTATAGTCTCTTCTACACCTAGGTTTAAATGCAGGACTCTTAGCTTCCAGCTGAATGCAGACCTCTCAAAAATTTTTATTACTCCCTTTTTATACTTTAAATTCTTAATCTTATGACCCGTACCTGACAACTTTGCTAAGCTGCCAGATGAATCAGTTCTTAAAATATTAAGTTTTCCATTTTAATCTGAACAAACAGCATGAAATCTATGTCAAAGGTGCCTTGAATGTTGGGACAGAACTGTGGCGGTGGGGTGGAGGTGGGGAACAAGGTCAATAAGGCTAATCTCACAACCTTAAACCTCTAAATATTACTATTCTCAGATATGAATTCATTAATACACTGAATTCTTGAAAGGTAGCAACTAAGAGCTTCCTTGGTTATTTTTATCTGCACATCAAGTGAACAGAACCTAAGTAACACTACCCTTTGGATTATGTATCAGTTGGTTTGACAGTTTGCCAAATCAGTTGTTTAAATGTTGACTACGTGTTCAAAGAGGGCAATTCTAATTAGCTGAATGAAGGCAGCAATGACCACCAAAATTTCAGGCAAAATAGCTAAATAGGTGAGATTTGGCTTTAGTCCCTTTCTTCCTTCCCTTTCCATTGTCCACCAGCTACTTCTGGTTCACCACCAATGGTCCCCCAAGCTGCCTTCTCTCAAAGAGGCTCCACAGTGAGAACTCAAGAAATATACAACTGATCAAGAAACATACCTCCTGGTACCCACTGCCGACTAGTCGACTCCCAACTCACTGACTCCACAGGGGTGCCAAGGCTGTAAATCTCTACTGAAGCAGACTGCCACATCTTTCTCACACGGAGCTGCTGGTGGTTTCGAACCACTGACCTTTCGGTTAGCAGTTGACTGCCTTAACCACTGCGTTACCATGGCTCCTCATATCTCCTAATAGTATTTATATTTTAAAATGGGAGTAGGTTAAAGCAAACAAATCTCCAATTGGTTGTTGTTAGTTGCCTTCCAGTCGATTCAGAGTCATGGCAACCCCATGTGTGCTGAGTATAACTGCTCCAAAGGGTTTTCAAGGCTGTAATCTTTCAGAAGCAGACTGCCAGGCTTATCTTCCAAGGTACCTCCGGGTTTGCAGTTTCTGGGCTAGTAGTTCAGTGCTTAACCATTCTGCCACCCAGGGACTGCCTCCAACTGGTAGAAAATGTAGAAGCACTGTCTGTAAACAAGGACATCTTTCTCTGCTCGCCACCCCTGCCCCGAAAGATCAGGCGTGCTTTAAAACATATCCCTCTGCTTTTTTAAAAAATTAAACCATCATGTAATACACAAGATAACCAGGACTATCAAAGGTATAAGAACCTACTCCCACCTTCAATCATACATGGCTCACTTGAGTTCACAATCTTTCTCTAAGTGCAAATCATAACTGCTTTATGTAAATAAGTCTAGTTCTTTTAAATTTTTCAATTACATTTAATACACATTAACGTAAAGTGAACCTAATAAATATTAAAAGTAAGTAATTCAAACAGTTGGCAAAGTTAATCCCAAGCTAAATTCTAGATCACAGCTAAGGTATCCACACAATCTTTCCTCTCATCTTACTGCTTTCCAGCCCAACTTGTGTGTTTGGCACAGACTTTAGGAGGCCAACCAAGCTAAGTCAGAGCTCGGTTCCCCCAAACTTACCTATTTCCATTATCAGTCTCTACAGTGCCTTGCTAATGAGTGATGACCCCTGATAAACCAATTAACACTTGTGTGTCAATGGCCAAGAAAGCCAGTCCTACTAAATTACTTCCTTGTATTTTACAGAGGCCTTTAAGATCTCGGTTCCTGGGTGGCACAAATGGTTTAGTGCTCCACCACTAGCCAAAAGGTTGGCGGTTTGAACCCACCCAGGCGCGCCTGGAAGATAGGCCTGGCAATCAGCTTCGGAAAGGTCACAGCCTTGAAAACTCTATGGAGCAGTTAGTCAGAATCATTCTACAGCAACAAACAACATTAAAACCTTAACCCGAGGACTGAAAAGACAACTTGCAACTTGATACCAGAACTTGCAAAAAACTAGATTTTGGGGATAGTTTTTCAAAGCACAAGGCTTACTATAACCCTACTCTTTCTTGCGTGTAGAGGCCTTTTAGAATAGCAAGACCGGAAGTTGGTACAGGTATTCCTCATACTGTAAAACAAAACAAAGCCAAAGCAACAAAAAAAAACTTCCAGTGAGTGCAGCACGCTCACCCCCTAGCCACCAATCTCCTCAATCTCCACTTAATAAGAGCGAGATCTCCAAGGCTGGAGTCCTGAGGGGGAAAGGCTGGGGACAGAGGAGCACTGTGTGTGGTTTCCGAGCCTACGGCCCCGGAACGCGGGGCAGGGGCGCAGGTGGGGTCCGAAGCAAGGCGAGGCGGCGCTGGCCCTGGTTACCTGCGGCGAAGTGGAGCGGGGTGGACTTCCTGCCCGCTGTGTCGCGGCTGTTCACCTTCTCCGGCGTCACTAGCCTCTTGACTCGCTCCACGTCCCCGTTGCGGCAAGCCTCGAACAGCTCGCGGGCTGCCGGCTCCAATGCATCCACCGCTGCGCCCGCGCAAGCCGCGCCCCCGCCGGCGCAGCGGCGGCCCGACATGATCCTGGCCGCCGCCAACAGCAGCGCCAGCAACGGCAGCAGGAGCCCCGACCCCGCGAGCAGGAGGGCGAGGCCCCCCGGAGGAGACGCGCTCAGGGCCTGGGCCGCTCGGCTCCCTGCTGTCACCAGCCCCTGCGCAGTCCCATAGTCACGCCGCCACGCGACTCCCCACTCGTCCCCGTGCCCCCTGGCTGCCCCCCGGCAACGGAAGCAACGGGAACTCGCCGTCCAAGCTCCGAAGCGACGCGGCGACAGAAGCTGGCAGAGCCCCTCCTGCTAGCTCCGCGGAGACCCAGGAGCGCACGTGACGTATCCCTACGCGTGCGCAGTGGCCGCAGACCGGCCGGGCAGGTTTCGGGGAGCGGGACCGCGCGGAGGGGTTTGTGGGAAATGTGAGGCGAGAGCCATTGGCGGCGAGAGAAGGGGCTTCGTCCCACCGCCATCTTTGTGGTGAGGTTTGCTGAAGCTGAGCAGCCTTACTTTCTGTTTCAATGCGTGAACTTTTCGAGCTGAATTTCCTTACTGTTTCCGACAATGAAAAAGAACTCTTGAAAGTTTTACCCCGACCTAGGAATTTTGTATATTCCTTTAAGTCTTAGTGTGGGGAAAATTTCTATTTTTTTTTTTTCAGCTTCCACAATCCCTTTCTCCTTGGGGATTTGTTTTCCGTTTTCCTTACTATGTCTCTTCCCTTTCCCCACAACTGCCTTTTTTGTTGTTGTTTTCTTGTAAGCCAATTCGGGGAAAGGAAGGAGTTGCTCTCCAGTAAGTGAGAAGTTTGGATGAGCTGCCCCAAGATCATTTAAAGGAAATTAGGAAAGCGATGGAAGTTTATTCCCATTTTAACGTAATAGTAATTAAGAAGGATGGCTCTGATCAATATAGTCTTTACAGTTACTAGTGAGCTAGGGAAGGGAAAAAGGGACTGAGCCCCTAGGCAGAGGACCCTGAACTAAAAACGTGCTTAACTATGACACAAAACTCGTTACCTTGGAACATGCAATGATGAAAGAACAACCCACCCAGCTCTCAATGTACTTCCTTGATGTTTTTCAGAAGAACGGTGATCTTGTCCCTGGAGCATGCGCAGACATCCACAAGGTGACCTACACACCCACAAAAGGAATCCAGCAGCCACCAGGAGGGGAGCTGTGCAGGTGCGGCATCCCGTAATAAGTCCTGCCATCCAGTCCCAGGAGCCTTTGTTACGGGTTCCATCTTGAATTACTTCTTGCGTGTGCACCTAATCTTCATAACCCCACTTCTTTTCATGAATAAAGATGATGCCTTTTCCCGCCTAAAAACTTCCATAAGCCCTAGCCAAGCCTTTATTTGGGGGAGACAAAGGCTAGCCTTACGTTGTCCCTCTTTGCACGTGCGCAAGCTACTTTTTAATAAAGCTTTGTTTGTGCAGAAAACTTGAGTCTCTCCTGGTCATTCTTAGAAGAAGGCAAGAACCAGATAGGGGCTACCCAGGTTGGGCAGAAGACCCCGGCAACACTAGCTCAGGAACAACTAGAGGGCTCACACCTAATTCAGTCTTATACTGGACTTGGCTGAGGTATGAATATGCGAGGCATGTTCCTGGCCAAGAGTGTTAACTGAGTTTTAATTTTTCTGTGACCAACAAACCCTAAAAAACCACTTAAGATAGTGGTGCAGCCATTTATGATCATTCCTCACCCCACCCCCTTTGCCTCAAGGAACTGTGAGTTTGAAAGAAAGGTCTACCTACATAAAATGGTATGTTGACCTTTGGTATGTTGATGAACAGTTTGCCACTGTAGTATTAACTTCTTAACCTGTTTTTCAGGAATCCAGTATTTGGGAGTGTGACTCATTCTTGTGCCAAAAGAGAGGGGACTTACACTTAATTTTAACCATATATATGGAACAACCTTGCTTGCTGAAAGCAAAGAGTACTTGAAGCTCTTACTGATAAAGATCAAAGACTACAGCCTTCAGTATGGATTACACCACCTCAACATAAAACAAAAATCCTCACAACTGCACTGATAAACAACATCATGATGAACAGAGAAAATATTGAAGCTGTAAAGGATTTCATTTTATTTAGATCCACAATCAACACCCCTGGAAGCAGCAGTCAAGAAATCAAACGTATTGCATTGGGCAGACCTGCTGCAAAAGACCTCTTTAAAGTGTTAAAAAGCAAAGATGGCACTTTGAGGACTAAGGTGTGCCTTATATGCATGTGAAGCTGGGCAATAAGGAATACTAAAGAAGAACTGAGACGTTTGAGTTATGGTGTTAACTGAGGCTGTCCAATTAGGAGGTGATTGCAAAAGACCAACTGAAAGATGATGGTAGTTTGGACTAGAAAGATGACAGCAGGAGGTGGTGATGGAAAGAAGTGACTTGACGTGTATGAGCTACTTAAGAGATAAAATTAATAGAACTTGGTGATTGGAGAGTTCAGGGGAAAAAAAAAAAGCATTTGGGAATGCCTCCAAGCTTTCTGCTCACACAACTTCATGGATAGCAATGCTGGAAGTCTGACTTTTCATTGAGTTTCTTCTAAGGTTGCCCTGGCTAGTTTGAATTGGGAGATGTGCTATAAACTTAAAATACACTTAATATATCTCACTTGTCTGTCACTTTGTTGTACTGTGGTGGCTTGCATATTGTTATAATGCTGGAAGTTATGCCACCAGTATTTCAAATACTAGCAGGGTTACCTGTGGTGGACAGGTTTCAGTGGAGCTTTCAGACTAAGGTAGAGTAGGAAGAAAGTCCTTGCGATCTATTTCTGAAAATTAGACAATTAAAACTCTATTGATCACAACAGAATATTGTTTGATATAGTGCTGGAAAATGAGCTTCCTAGTCCTGCAACAATGAACTTGGGTATGCTAACGGTCTTGAAGATGCCACGGGTCCAGGCAACATTTCATTCTATTGTGCGTGGGGTCCACTCCTGATAATGCGTCCAAAGTGTGTGAGAAAAGTCTTGCCATTCTTGCCTTTAAGGAGCATTCTGGCTGTTCTTCTTCCAAAACAGATGTGTTTGTTCTTCTGGCAGTCCATGGTATATTCAAGATTCTTCGCCAACACAGTAATTCAAATGTATCAATTCTTCTTCAGTCTTCCTTATTTATTGTTGAGCTTTAATATACATATGAGGCGATTGAAAATACTATGGCTTGGGTCAGGTGCACTTTAGTCCTCAAAGTGATATCCTTGCTTTTTAACACTTTAAAGAGGTCTTTTGCAGCAGATTTGCCCAATGCAATATATCGTTTGATTTCTTTTTGTTTTAATTGTTCTTTAAGTGAAAGTTTACACCTCAAGTTAGTTTCTCATGCAAAAATTTATATATACATTTTTATGTGACCCTAGTTGCTCTCTCTATAATGTGACAGCACACTCCTCCTTTCCACCCCGGATTTCCTGTGTCCATTCAACCAGCTCCTGTCCCTTTCTGCCATCGTTTGATTTCTTGACTGCTGCTTCCATGGGCGTTGATTGTGGATCCAAGTAAAATGAAATCCTTGACAACTTTAATCTTTTCTCCATTTATCATGATGTTGCTTATTGGTCCAGTTGTGAGGATTTTTGTTTTCTTTATGTTGAGGCGTAATCCATATTGAAGGTGTAGTCTTTGATCTTCATCAGTAAATGCTTCAAGTCCTCTTCACTTTCAGCAAGCAAGGTTGTATCACCTGCATATTGCAGATTGTTAATGAATCTTCCTTTCTCTTTAGCTACTTGACTTTCAAGAGCAAGTTTCAGAGTCTCTTCTGACATCCATTTTGGTGTTTTCTTTCCTTCCTGTCTTTTTAATGAACTTTTGCTTTCTTTGTGTATGATGTCCTTGATGTCATCCCACAACTTATTTGGTTTTTGGTTATTAGTGTTCAATGCGTCAAATCTATTCTTGAGATGGTCTCTAAATTCAGGTGGGATATGCTCAAGATCGTACTTTGGTTCTCATGGACTTATTTTAATTTTATTCAGCTTCAACTTGAACTTGCATATGATCAATTGATGATCTGTTCCACAGTTGGCCCCTGGCCTTGTTCTAACTGATGATACTGAGCTTCTCCATCGTCTCTTTCCACAAATGATTCCTGTGTATTCCATCCAGTGAGATCCATGTGTGCAGTCGCAATGAATAAGTATTTGCAATGAAGAAGTTGTTGGTCTTGCAAAATTCTGTCCTTGATCTCCAGTGTCGTTTCTATCACCAAGGCCATATTTTCCAACCACCAATCTTTCTTCTTTGTTTCCAACTCTCCCATTCCAATCACCAGTAATTATCAATGCATCTTGATTGCATGTTTGACCAATTTCAGACTGCAGAAGTTGGTAAAAAAATCTTCAGTTTCTTCGTCTTTGGCGTTAGTCATTGGTGCATAAACTTGAATAATAGTTGTTGTCATGGATTGAATTGTGTCCCCCAAAAATATGTGTCAACTTGGCTAGGCCATAATTCCCAGTTTTGTGTGATTATCCACCATTTTGTTATCTGATGTGATTTTCCTATGTGTTGTAAATCCTACCTCTATGATGTCAATGAGGCAGGATTACAGGCAGTTATGTTAATGAGGCAGGACTCAATCTACAAGATTAGGTTGTGTCTTAAACCAATCTCTTTTGAGATACAAAAGAGAGAAGCGAGCAGAGAGACAGGGGGACCTCATACCACCAAGAAGGCAACGCCAGGAGCAGACCTGGGTTCCTGTGTGGAGAAGCTCCTAGACCAAGGGAAGATTGATGACAAGGATCTTCCTCCAGAGTCAACAGAGAGAGAAAGCCTTCCCGTGGAGCTGGCACCCTGAATTCAGACCTCTAGCCTCCTAGACTATGAGAGAATAAATTTCTCTTTGTTAAAGCCATCCACTTGTGGTGTTTCTGTTACAGCAGCACTAAATAACTAAGACAGTTGTATTAACTGGTCTTCTTTGTAGGTGTATAGATATTTTCCTATCACTGACAGCATTGTATGTCAGGACAGATCTTGAAATGTTGTTTTTGATGATGAATGTGACATCATTCCTCTTGAATTTGTCATTCTCGGCATAGTAGACCATATGATTGTCTGATTCAAAATAGCCAATGCCAGTCCATTTCAACTCACTAATGCATGAGATATCAATCTTTATGCATTCCATCTCATTTTTGATAACTTCCAGTTTTCCTAGAGTCATAGCTTGTACATTCTGTATTCCAATTATTAATGGATATTTGCAGCTGTTTTTTCTCATTTTAAGTTGTGCCACTTCAGTAAATGAAGGTCCCTAAAGCTTAACTCCATCCTCATCATT